GACCCAGTAGGCCATAGGGAGCATTTGTAAGTCCTAATAAAGGAATACTTTGATGAAAATGGGATTTTTAGGAATATTAATATGCCCTTCAAGTGGAGGGGGAAAAACTAGATGAATTAAAAGTTGAACTTGTTATTCTTGTGTGGCATTTTAAAATTCTTAATTGAGGACATTAACTTCCACCTCCTAGGTTGCTAGAAGAGGATGGTAGGTGACGTGCGTAGCACAGTGACTGGGATATAGTAGGTGATCTGTGAGTTGCTAATACTCTTTACTGTCATCTCTCTGAAATTCATCTAACGTTATGGAGCCCCATTTCATGATCACCTTAGCTCTAGAAACTGCTTCGCCCATTTTCTCTCCAAGGGCTCTGAGCTCTGTCAGGAGTTCTGGAACCAGGATACTCCAGTGAATTGAATGGGAGGTGGGAAAGGAGCAGAGCAGGAAAGGGATCAGCGGGGACTTTCTCTGGGTGTCCTTTGTTTGCTGTCAGCAGGAACTTTCCATGAAGCTACCCATCTTCCCTGGCTTGCAGCAGGCTGCTTATCTCCCAGTACAGGTCCACAGAGAATGGAGTGGTAAGGAACTTGAACGGGAACCCATTTACTGTCCCAGTGTCCTGGCAGCAGAACCCAGATCTATGGGCACTTGCAGCCATTTTTTCCACACAAGCATCTTCTTGTGTCTCATCACTTACCATCAATCCATCAGGATGAGGCCACTGCTGGCTCCAGGCCAGAGTCATCCTTAAATCTTCCCCAGAGCTGGAACACTACTTCCCCTCCTCAGAAGTTTCAGTCCTATTCCTATAAACCCCATGGTCTGCATCCTGGTTTGAAATAAGTGGAAGTCAATCTAGTCAAGGAAAATCTAGGAAATATTGTCCCACCTCCCAGGTAGGGGAAGTTCTATGTTACTGAAGGAGATGGATGACTAAAAAGGACAAGCTCAACACCACAGAAGTGACAAGTAGGTAGAGCTGGTCCCAGAAAGGCCCATCAAGTAAGAAATGCTGCTGAATTCCTCCATCAGAGCCACTATCTTAGACCACGAGTAGAAGTTTTGATGACTAAAGCCCTTATGGAGAGTAACTTTGTGAAAGTGACTGTCACACCAGCCCTCAACCATCAGCCTCTGGTCTTAAATGGGATGGAGAAATGCACTTCCATTTCTTTTAAGCTACCACTTTTTGGTATCCATAACACATAACACATAACACATAGCCAAAATTGATCATGATGGATACTGTGTTCAATAATTTCTGGGTTTTGTAATTATCACATGACTATGACTAATGTTTGTCTTCCCACCATATTGTAAGCTCCGTGAGGACAGGGATCACATGTGTGTGACTTTGTATGTTCTTGAGGCCTAAACCAGTGCTACACACACAGCAGGTATTCAGTAAGTGTCTGTAAAATGAGGAGCAAAGAATGACCTCTGTTCATGCTCTTCTACTCCCTGGACATGAGCAACACCTTGGGCCGTGTTTTCCTTAAATGTCTCACTTTAAGCTCTTTGTGATGGTTGACTGATTTTGTCGATTTGAGTAAGAAATGCCGAGCTAAATTGGCCAGCATAGTTCTGGGTATGGAAGACCCACCCTAGGGAGGATTATCACCAGAATAGTATAAAAGGGAAATGAAGAAGGAAGGATTGCTTCTGTTTCTTCGGAGGAGCTCCAGTCTTCGCCTTTACCTTGGATGTCTTCTCCTGATTACCAGAGCAGACTCTTCAGTCCCCTGATACGGACTCACACGGGCCACTACAGTGAGCTCCAGGCCTTCAACTGGATCCTTCAGATCCCCAGTGCACAGACAGATCTTTCACACACCTGACTCTGTGGACAGCCATTGTAGAGCAATCTTGTAAACTCTTATATATTTGTATATCTTGCATTAAATCTGTTTCTCTAGTAAGCACTGACTAATACACTCTCCCAAGGAAAATTTTCCTTGTCGCATCTCACTTCCTCCTAGTTCCTGTTTTTACAACTGTTCAGCACCTATACAGATGGAACCATTCTTATGCCATTTGGAGATCATTCTCTGGTTAGTTCCTGAATGCTTGTGTCCTTGTCTTGCAGGACTTCAGGAAAACATACTTTCTTTTTTTAATCATTGAGAGACTTGGCTCCAATTCTTCATAAATGTGTACAGTGAAGGATAAATTTGACAAATGGAATGAGAAAGGAAAACCTGTCAAGGTCCCAACCCTGACACAGAGTATTGGCATTTCGAGTTGAGGGGGTGAGGATTAAAGAAAAGTCTCCATGGGCTGAGGGTGCAACTTGATGGTAGAGCACTTGCATAATATGTGCAAGGCCCTGTGATCAATCTTCAGCACCACAAATGAAAAACTTTAAGGGCCGAGGATTTAGCTCAGTGGTGCCGCCACCTGCCTCACAAGCACAAGATCCCAAGTTCAATCCCCAGTACAAAAAAAAGAAAAGAAAAACTTAAAAAGAAAATGGGTAGTAAGTAAGACTGAAAAAGAGCAGTCAGAAAGCAGGGGACAAATAAGAAGAGTCCCAAAAGCCAAGCTTGGAAAAAATTTCAAAGATAATGTGTTGAAATATATATATAATATATATAATTATAATATATAATGGTATAATGTTATATAATATTATAATATATTATCTATAATAATATATATTTATATTATATATATATATGTGTGACTCAGGGGATCTGCTCTTAAACTCCACTAGCTGGATAAATCATTTTGCCTGTAAGGATCCACTTATTTATTTTTATTTTTATATTTTAGAAGGTCTGACTAAATCATTGATCTTCTAGCTATGCTCCATCCAAGAAGCCCAGTTAGAAGATCCAAAAAGATGGAACACAGCCATAGACATTTTGTTCCCTGCAGCTTCCTGCATGGACTTACCATGACATTTAGTTTGCATAAAAGGCTATTAAACTAAAACAAAATTTGAAAATCAAGCTGCACTCAGTGGTGAGTGTGCCTGTAATTCTAGCTCTTCAGGAGGCTGAGGCAGGAGGATCTGAAATTCAAGGCCAACCAGGACAACTTAGTGAAATCCTGTTTCAAAATATAAAATAAAAATAGAAGAGAGGGAGACAGACAGACAGACACAGAGAGACAGAAAGACAGAGAGAGAGAGAGAGACAGAGAGAGACAGAGACAGACACAGAGACAGAGAGAGGCAGACATGACCATTGGACTCCATGACCTCCTTAGAGTCTCTGGTTTTATGATTCAACCTACTCCCCAAACTGGAACCCCTCTTCAAAGAAGAAAGGGCATATACACGAGCCTTGGTCTCATCTCCCCAGCCGGACTATAAATTCTAAGAGGGGTAAATACGGACTTATGGCTCTCAGCTTCCCATGACAAGCAGACAGCTGTGGCTGGAATTCCTAGATATTCTGTGAGGTTCCATAGCCAGATTCTTAACAGTCAGAGCAGCAGAAAAGCCATGAGAAGTATCTGTCACACCCTAGTGAGTTCTCAGGTGGTATCGGGACTCCATACTGGGGTGACTGGGCCTCTGAGCTCCAATCTAAGCATTTCTATTCATACATATGTGTCTTTAACTTCATCACATTGTTTTTCTCCTTCCTAGCTGTTTTGTTGTTATTGTTGCTGTTTCTGGTACTGGGTATCAAACCCAGGGGTACTCTACCACTGAGCTACATACCCAGCCCTTATTTTTTATTTTGAACAGGATCTTGCTAAGTTGCCCAGCCTGGGTTCAAATTTGCAATCTTCCTGCCTCAGCCTCCCAAAGTGCTAGGAAGGATTACACATATAGGTTATGTGAACATTCTCTTTTCTTTTTTTTTTTTTTGAGACAGGATCTCACTATGTAGCTCAGGCTGACCTTGAACTCACTATGTAGACCAAGCTGACCTGTGAATATTCTTTGTTTTTTTTGGTACCGGGGATCAAACTTGGGACCTTGCGCTTTCCAGGCAGGTGGCAGAACCACTAAGCTAAATCCCCGGCCCCTTGTGAATATTCTTAACACTACTGAATTTTATGCTAAAAAATGGTTAAGATGCTAAAGCTTATGTGAGTTTTACCACTGTCTGAGTGTTTGCGTGCTTGTGTGTGTGTGTGTGTGTGTGTGTGTGTGTGTGTGTGTGAGCACTAGGGATCAAACACAGGATCTCATGTATGCTAGACAAGTACTCAAGTACTCGACCCTTAAACTACACTCCCAGTCTCACAATTTTTTTAAAAAAGAAGAGTACCCAGGTGTGGTGGCACACACCTGAAATCTCATCTACTTGGGAGACTGAGTAAGCAGAATCACAAGTTCAAGGCCAGCCTGGGCAACTTAGAAAGAGCCTGTCTCAAGATAAAATCAAATTAAGCCAGTTGTGGTGGCATGCAACTACAAGCCAGCACTCAGGAGACTGAAGCAGAAGGATCACTGCAGGTTCGAAGCCAGCGTGGGCTATATAGTGAATTCAAGGCCAGCCTGAACTACACAGCAAGACCCTGTCTCAAAAAAGAGATAAAATAAAATTTAAAAGAGCTGGGAATCTAACTGAGTGGTAGAGTGTATGCCTACCATGCATGAGGCCCTGAGTTTAGTTCCCAGGACCATAAATAAGAGACAGCAAGGGCCCTTTGGGAAATTTCTGACTGACTCCTAGTTTCCCCCTTCCTGGCCCCAACCTGGGGGTGAAGTGAGGTAGAAAGTGAGCCTTGAAGATAAGTGAAACTTCTGGCTCCTCTACTTACAAACCCTTTCAGGGATCTCATGTGCCTTATCCCAGTATTTCTTGATCCACAGACTTTTGTCTTCCAGTTCTGAGTACACAGGAGGCTTTGGATGAAACTCACACACACACACACACACACACACACACACAGATGTCAATTCAATTAATTAATTGGTTTTTTAAAAAATAGACTAGGGCCAGGGATTTAGCTCAGTGGTGCTGCCGCCTGCCTCGCAAGCACAAGGTCCCAAGTTTGAAATCCAGTACCAAAAAAAAAAAAATAGACTAGAGACAGGATAGAATCACAGAACTTGGCCCAGCCTTGCTGGAGCTATTTATTTATGGAAGGGCTATGGGTTGTAAGGTCCTTGGGCTGGTCCAGGACTCCATCTCAGTCACTGTGGGCCTCTCCATAACTCACCTGGGGTGGCTAAGGCCAAGGCCCAGGCACCTGAAAGAAAGTGCTACATGGAAAGGTCATGTCACCCTTCTATATCCAGCCCCTTACCCCAACCTCACCTCATCACATGGATGGTACTGCACCCAGGTGAGCCCAAGGAATGAAGTAAAGAACAGGGTCAAAAGCATAGACTCTTGACACTTTCTCTCTTCCACTGGAGATGTGGCTTTTTCATACCCAAGAGCCTATACAGGGGGCCCCAGGCCTGACAGACTCTAAGAGAGGCAGGAGGATGTGACAATAAGGATGGAGATGGTATGGATAGACAAGGGAGGTAGGGAGGTGGGGCAGGAGGGAATGAGGGCAGGAGCCAGTACCAAGAGCCCAAAGAAATGGGTGGGGCAAGCTACTCTCATGTATTGACTCCATGCAGTTCTCTCTTAAGGGACCAGGTGTAGAGCAGCAGACCTCTAGGAGAGGTGGTGTTGTCCCTAAGCCTCTCAAGGGATCAGGAGGGAGAGGCTGCACTTACCCCATAGGAATCTTCTTCACCCAGACATAATGTGTTTGACAAAGGCTAGGGAAAAAAGTAAAAATCAGCCAGCCACTACAAATAGCCCTTCTCAGGTCTATATTTTTCCCTTCCATCTCTCAAACAGCCTCCCTCTTCCCTACACTTCAAACCCTCCCACTACCCCGTCTCCAGACTGTAAATCTTTCTCTTATTTGAAGGTTGGTGGGGAGAAAGTGAAAGAGGGAAAACACCTAAAATTCTGCTGTGTCCACTTTTTGTGCCGAAGCTCAACATAGATGAAGGAGCGACATTATTTCTACAAATACCCACAAGCTTGAGAAAAGTGCTAGCATCACCCTCCTTGCTCAGATGAGAAAACTGAAGCTCAGAGAAGATAAGTGACCTGATCAAGGTCACACAGCTAGCATATCATAGAGCTACCTCCAAAACTTATCCTCCTCCCACTACACCAGGATGTTCACTCCCAGGATGGAAAAGAACAACATTCACAGAGAGTCAACCAAAGCCCATCTGATGCACACATCCTTTAGCTCCCAGACCCACCAGCCCAAGCCCTGCCTACACTCCCAGGTGCCCTGGGGAGCAAGGCATGTTGGATACCTTCGTAATTGATGCAGCCATTGGCATCCTCCTGCCCAGACAGCAGTTGCTCCACTTCAGCCTCAGTCATCTTCTCTCCTAGGGTGGGGTTGGGAGATGTTAGGCTCTTAATTACAAATGACAAAGGACAAGAAAAACCAAGTACTCCCTAAGTCTGAAGTGGATCTGGAAGTGTCAAGGCTTTCCCAAATGCTATGGAGGCAGGCCCAAGGGTCCTAAAGCCCTGCCTACTTCCTGAAGGTGCTCAAGCTCTATTCAGAGTCACATGACAAGGACAGATGCCTCAAGTCCCCCTTTCAGGTCTCAAGAATAAGCCCTGCTCTGCCAGCTGCTCTTGTCTCCCAAACCTCAGCACTCTTGAGCAAACCCAACTGGGGGAGGTTGTTCCTACAGAGTTCAGGGGGACAAGGCCTGGATTAGGACATGATCTAATGATTGCAGAGATGCCTGGCTACCTACTCCCCCAACTTGTGTCACCCTGGCACCTCACAGCCCTCCATTCTTCCCACATGGACTCTGCCTCTGCCCAGGTGGCCTACCCAGGGTGGCCAGGACATGCCGAAGTTCAGCACCCATGACTGTGCCATTGCTCTCCTTGTCGAAGACACGCAGGCCCTCTACAAAGTCCTCAAACATGCCCTGCTCCTTGTTGCGGGAGATGTGCTGCAGGATGGGCAGGAACGTCTCAAAGTCCAGCATCTTGGCATTCATCTCTTCCAGCAGGCATGGAAGGACAAAGAAAGCAGCATGAGTGGATAGTCAGGGAAGCACATGGCCAAGTAGAAGCTTCATCCCAGCCTTAGCAGAATCCAGAGTTTAAGCTATAGCTGCTTCTAGATGGGATACCCAGTCAGTGACCCTGGGAGGCACAGAGCTGCCCTTTGGAACAAAGTAAGGGATTTGGAACTTAGGAGCTCTCTGGCTCTTACTCCCAGTGAAAAGAGTAGAGCAGAAGAAAAAGGGAACTTTGGCTCCACCCAGACCTCTGAGCTCTGGGTGGCCAGCTAGGCAGAGGAGCCAAGGGTGGCAACAGCAGGATTTGAGGGGCCCAAAGGGCCCCATAGGCAGGCCTCACTTTCACAGTGTAGACTTTTGACATGTGACAGACATACAGTCACAGAGGTGAACTGGTAGGAAGAACAAAATTAAATGTTGGTCTAAAGAAACAACTCAGCAGTAGAGTGTTTGCCTAGCATGTATGAGGCCCTGGGTTTGATCCCTAGCAATGAAAAAAAAAATGTTTCCATAACTCTGCATTTGGGTACAGTACTATTACTAGATTTCCTGAAATGCTTGGAATCAATAGTTTTCATAAATTCACCATTTGCTTGTGAATAGCACATTTTTCCCACATTGTAGTGTGTAGAATGTTTTAATTAAATATATGAAAACCATCTTAAATACCGTAAATTTTGCCATGTATACCCAGGTTATCTCTTGGCTTACCAGAAGCCCTGCTAACTTGCACAAGCTCCCAGACTACAGACCCTTTCCTGCCCTCATTGTTCACCCCCAAACTACTGGTATCTCCAGCTAGAGGAGAAGGGAAAGAAGTCAAAACCAAGGAAGAAGGAGAGGACCAATATGAGTCCCAGGCAGCTTCTGGATGACTGGAAACAAATCCAGACAAAGACCCTCAGGTGACAGGGAGGACACTACACCAGGAGGGTTAGCTGGGGACCCACCCTCACCTTCAGGCTTGGGCTTGCCCAGGACACGCAGCACCTCAGCATTGGTGGGATTCTGGCCCAGGGCCCGCAGCACATCCCCACACTGCCCATAGGTTATCTTCATCTCTCCAGTTGGTGTCCGGTCAAACAATGAAAAGGCCTCTTTAAACTCTGTAGAGAAGAGAAGGTGGTGACTGAGAGCTGTTGGGCCTCTGCCCTGGCTGAATAGCAGGTCAATGTGGTAGGTACAATATGTCGATATTTTGGCTGGGAGCAGTGGCACATGCCTGTCATCCCAGAACTCTGAGAGACCAGGGCAAGAGGAACTCAAGTTTGAGCCAGGGTGGGCAACTTAATGAGACCTTGTCTCAAAATTTAAAAAAAAAGGCGGGGGGTGGTGGTGCTTAAAAGCTGGAGATGTACTCAGGGAGAAGGCCCTTGCTGGGTTCAATCCCTAGTACAGGGGGAAATTTTAAGTCAGTATATCTCCCTTCAGTCATTGTCCCAGGCTTCCCTTGACACACCCCACTCCATCTTCTGACAACTAAAGATGTCTCCTGGTGCCTCCAAGATTCATCTCAGTGCTGGGCCTGGGCTTTCTTCTGTCAGTTGGTTGTTACATAATTTGAACATCACCCCTGCCTCTACCCTCTCATTCTTTGCTGATGTAGGTGAGGCATCTATTGGAAATACCAGTTCCTGGGTTCTCATCTTGGATCTGCCTCAGAGCAGGATCAGTCACATTGGGTCTGTTTCTTTGTGAGCACAAGGGTGTAACACTCTACTCCCCCCACCCTTCCTTCTACTATGAGTATCAATGGAGGTGATAGGATGTGGAGGCACTTTGTAAAGTGATAAGACCTGTTCAAAGGGAGCTATTACAAGCACTTCCTGCTCCAAATTAAAAGAGAGTTCTCAGGCCAGTCAAGGTGACACCATGGCCACTATCAGACCACATCAGCTCTGCCACTCACCTAGATGCTGCCTTGGGTGAACTACCAAGCTCTGTGGATTCTCCATTTGTTAGATCTAGGTGGGGATATGATATCCACCTGAGTGAGTTGCTGAGTGGGGGGATCACAAAGAGTGCTGACATGGTGTCTAGGGAACTGATACGTGGTGGTTATGATGAGTGGTAGTTCCCAAGCCAGCTCAATACTATAAAGACTGCACTCCTTGAAAGTAGCAGCACAGGTATCCAAGGGACATGGCCAAATTAAGACACTCCTGGGTCCTTTGCTAAGAGCCTTAATTGTTTGTTAATTTGGATTCAATCAATTCATTAGTGGGGATCATTTAGACAGGGGGTGGACAAGTTACCTTATGCTAGTCACAGAGTAGTTTACTAAGCACATTATCAGTATAAACCAATAAAGAATGTATAAACTACCTAGGAGAAAATCTATTTTTAATCATTTCCAAGTACTTTAGAAATGCTTTTTTCTATAGAGGCCATATATGAATTGTATACAAATTATTCCACATGTCAAAGCAGATTCTCCCAGCCCATTACTAACAATGCTTTATTAGGCATGGATTTAAAATATATAAACATCTTTCACATTATTGAATAAATGAATTCAAATTCCATTTGTACTGTTTATTAGCTGTAAAGCCTTGGGAAAGCAAACATTTAACCTCTATAAACCTCTTTGTTTCTATAAATGGCACCTAATTCATAGGTGATATTGAATGTTATTCAAGCTAATACTATAATGCATGTAAATACAGTAATGTATGTAAAAAATCTTAACACAATGTCCAGCAAAGAGTAAGTGATCATGTAATGCTGTGAGTATCATCCTAATGAGTTTTATCTCAATTTTATCCCTTTGTGATCTTGGGCAACTCATTTCACCTCGTTGAATCTAGATTTCCTCCTCTGTAAAAAGGAAACACATCTACCCTATAACCTTGTTATATGTTTGTTTGGAGGATTTTTTTTTTTTTGAGATAGGGTCTTGGTATATAGTCCAGGCTGGCCTTGAACTTTCGAGCCCAGGTTTGCTCCCAAATCATGATCTTCCTGCCTCAGTCTCCCAAGTGCGTGGATTATGGGTGTGTGTCACCTTACCAAACTTGGACTTCAATTTTTTTAACATTTAAAAAAATTAGCATGGTGTCTGCCACAATTGCCTTCAATTAAATACACTTAGTTAACTCTGAACTCAGAGTTTCTAATCTCCTAATTCATTCAGATAAGCAAAATCAGATTTAACAAAAGAGGGAGTTTCCTCATCTAAGAAGATGTAATGATAAATAAGAGAGTAGAATATGAAAGGGAAAGTAATAAGAAAATGACCTGTAATTTGAGCACTCACCATGAGCCAGGCTCTGAACTGGTAATTTTGCATGGATTACCTCATTAATCTTTACAAATATTTTGTACTATAGGTATTGTTATCCTCATTTATAAGTCAATGCAGATGTGACATCTAACCAACTATTAAGAAAACCAAGGAAAGGGTCGGGGATTTAGCTCAGTGGTTTCACCGCATGCTGCGCAAGTGCAATGACCGGAGTTTGATCCCTGGTACCAAAAACAAAAACAAAAACAAGAAAACCAAGGGAAAAAAAAGAAAGAAAAAGAAAGCCAAGGAAATAGAAGGAGGAAAGAGGAAGAGAAAAAAAACAGCTAATGCTCCAACTGGTTACCTGGGAACTAGCAAGTTCCAAGAAAGCCTTGTGTGCATATAAGAGCCAAACACTAAAGTTTAGAGTTATTTCTAGGAAAAAACAAAGCCAATAGTATTAGAGATTGATCACTGGTTCAGAAGAACCATTTCCTCAATAATCTGCAACAGCTTAGTCAGCTGCCTCAGAGAACAATGAATCCATGCTAGAAAGATAAGGAAACCTGAAGGACCAGAGAAGGAAGTCAAAGGTTAGAAGCTAGTTTCTAAGCCACATGTGGTAGTACATGCCTATAATCCCAGCATTCAGGAAGCTGAGGTAAGAGGATCGTGAGTTGGAGGTTAACCTGGGAAATTTAGTGAGACTCTTTCTCAAAATAGAATTGAAGAAGAAGGAGGAGGAAGAAGGAGATGAGGAGGAGGAAGAAGAGGAAGAGGAAAAGGAAGAGGAAAAAGAACAAGAAAGAAGAAGAAGGAGAAGGAGAAGAACTAAGCAGCTATATCCTATGAGGAAAAGAAATTGGGACCACATCATGCCAAGCACATGCCCTATCACAGAGCCACACTCCCAGCCCAGGTGCTCCTTTCTGTCTTATCTCCTAGAAAGAATGGGACGTGGCAGGGTAAGGACAGGCCTGTGGACCTTAGACAGCCCCATGGCTTTAGGTAGCTGAGAGTGAGGCCAGAGGGCTATGGTCCTAGAACCAAATATCCTAGAGGCAGAAAAACCCAAGGTGCCTTGGTCATGGCTCAGCTCTGTCTTTTTGTGGCTAGAGAAGAAATATGGAGGCCACTGAAAAATTTTAAATAGGGCTCGTATATAGTATAATATGACTAAATTAACAATAAAGTCCTTAAGTGCAACGCAGGTTCCATGGCTACCAAGGAGCAAGTCCTTCCTTTTGGAAATAGGTAAGTGTGAGGTGTCACAATGTCATCAACTTATTTTCAAATGGTTCAGAAAAAAATACATAGGTTTAGACAAATAGACGGAGAAAGAAATAAAATTAACATGGCAAAAGCTCAGCCACTGGTGAGCTGCATACAGGATGTTCATTGAACTACTCTTTCAGCTTTTCTGTGTGGATGAAAACTTTTGAAATAAAATTTTTTTGTTTAAAAAAATTGGGGCCACATCACCTAAAGAATATAAAACTAAGAAGGGACTTGATACCTATCTACAAACAAATGGAAAGTATGCTTCCATTTGATGGAAGATGGAAAATGATAAATAGTCACCAAGTTTATGAATTAAAAAGAACTAAAAACTGTCAATTTTTGCAGACAGGAAAATTAAGGTTTAAAGACATAACTCTCCAAAACAAAAAGACATAATTTTCCCAAAGTCTTCTGGCCAATAGTGGCAGAATAAGGGATAATACAATAATCTCCTAATTCCCAAAGAATTTTTTGTCCTCCATAGCACTAGTAAATCATCATCAGCTTTATCAAGAACAAAAAAAGAGATAATAGGGGTAAAATTAAAGAAGAAACCATTCTGATCCAACATAAGGAAAAACATCTTCAAAGTCAGGGGATAAAAATAAATCAGAATAAGCTAGCCTCCCCATATCTAAAAATTTTCAAGGAAAGAAAAGCTCAACCAGCTGTCCCAGATGGCTTTAACCATGATTCTCATTTGGAAAGTGAAAATTTTTTTATCATTATTTGATTTTCTAGTCCTTACTGTGCTGTGTGGTTTGTATATCTGCAAAAGCATATATTTAACTAAAATACACTAAAATTAACTTTAAGAATTTCACAGCACCTCCAAAGCTATTGACTGAAAGTGACTATTTGCAGCTTATTACAAAAAGTCAGATTCAATTCACTAATTTCAAACTGCATGTACCAGCTCTCATACTCTGGGTAAAGTAGTGTCACTTCTTTGGAGAACAATTTGGAAATAACTATTCCAACTGAATGCACATATCCTTTGAACCACTGTTGGGAATCTTGAGTAGGAAAACACCCTACATTTCCCAATTGGAAATCAACAATCTGGAGATCTACAATGTAGTTCTGGTTGTGTGAGTTTATCCATGTATAAAAATCTGTATCATTGTTTAAAAGAATAAAGTAGAAGAGTTTGTGATAATTGTGAAAATTATGAAAAACCTATTACTAAGTAGTATCTTACATAGTATTAAATCCAAATGTTTAAGGTACAGGACAGCATCTATCACATGGGTCAATATGTATATAAATTTTATACATTCATATGTAGTTCTATCTCACTGTATATTTTTCTCAAATGATACAGACTTCTTAATAGTGGTTGTCTTTGGGAGAGGGATCAGCATGAGAAAAACACTTTTATTATTTATTTTTAATATCATATTTTTGTTATTTTTGGTTTTATCATGTGCTTGTATTAATTTACTTTTAAGACAGAGTACGTGTTTAAAATGAAGGGGTTGGATCAGATGATCTTTCAAAGTCTCTTCCAACTTCTATGATTTTATATCCTGGAGACATTTAGTAGGGGAAACAGAAAGATAAGTTCAATAACAGTGAGCTGGGAACATATAACTATGATAAGGTGAAGTATTTTCTTCTTGAAACACTAGACTCCTACAGAAGCATGGCTAAATGATAATCAGGTTGGCGAGTGGAAGATCTTAAGACTTATCTTGAGGTTATACTTAATAACATTTCATATAAGATTGAGAAAACATAAGTCATCCCATCAAAGATAGAGAAGAGTGGTTGATGGACTAGGCCACCCACAGATCACGATTGGCCCTGCCACCATTAGTGTGGAGCATCTTGGCAAACTTCTTGATGGGGCAAGGGTATGCTGGTAACCTAAGGAGGGCTTTTCAATAATGAGAACAGAAATAAGAACTTCCAAATGTCTTGGGTAGACTTCAGTGGTGGAGAAAAAAAGCACTAACACTTGTTGAGTATCTATTTAGCTCCATGAAGTCTGGCAGAGCAGTTAGGAACAGAGATATAGAATCAGATGCCTAAGTTTGAATACTGACTCCAGTACTGACTGCCACATAAGACTGGAGGAGCTACCCTAACTCTAGTGCCTCAGTTTTATCACCTGGTAAATGGGCATAGTAATGTTACTATTTTGTAGGATTGCTACAAGAATTAAATGAGTTAATCCACAGAAAGTACTTAGGACTGGGCCTAACGTATGGTAAGTGCTCACTATAGGTTTGTGATGATTATAAAGATTACTATTACCATGAAGACAACAAGAACGCCTTCTCTTCCTCCTTTTCCTCGAAAGTGCAACAGAAAGGAAAATGTGGGATGGTTCATACTCACCTTCGATCTGGTCGGCAGAGAAGTCTATCTGCAAGGAGGGAAAAAGAGAAGTGAGGGCTGAAACTCTAAAGTCTTACAGAGAGAAGTCTGGTCATTTCCTATGGGCCACTGATGAGGAGGGAAGCAGACTGAGTGTAAGACACCAGACTCCTGATGATACACTGTAAAATAATGCAGCCTCCAAAGCTCTCTCAATACCAGGACAGAAAGAGAGCAAGAAATAATCTAGATAACTCTAGAATCTACCATGACTCCCTATTGTAATTTTGTTGGATCAAAGTTAAATTCTTCATCCTAGCTAACCATAAACTGCACTCACTTTCTCCTCTTCAATCTCTCCCTGATCATCATTCTCAGACAAACTATATGTTCTCCTGCTTTGGGTGCCCACCACTCCCTACCCTTGGACTCTCTTTTTGATTTGATGCTGACTATAAGTCTACCTGCTTTTGCTATTTTTCACTGAAATGCTTGACATATCGTAGGCATTCAAAATTATCTGCTGAATGAAGGAATGGGTTTTGGATTTTGGCGTGCATAATAATTTAGGCTGAGTACTTTCATACTCAGGAGGAGAGTGGGAGCCTCTGGTAATGAATGGCAATGACCAAGCATGAGTCATCATTTTAATCAGGACCTTTTATGGTACGTCATTGTCCTTACCCACCCCTCCCTATCCCAACCCATCTCCTCATCTTCCCAGTAGTGGTTGATACTATCAAGAGCAACTTCTTTATGTGCTACCATTCTTAGTCCTAATTCTGCTTCTTACATTGTGCCCACTGCTCTCCTCTCCTCCCAGAATTGACTTCCATAATGAGGACCCCTGGAGGTGGCTGGCATGAGTTCCAGGAAGGGTTGAGAATGAAACTAGCTATGCTCAGGAATGGAGTTTGCCAAATGTGGGTGTTGGAGTAGAGGTGAGGAGGTTAAAAGAAATCCCTAAGTGGGGTAAAGGATGCTCCATAGTAACTTTGGGGGAAAGGTACTGTTTACCTTACTTTGCCATGCATTATGCCCCAGGAGTAAAGAAACTAGTGTAAAAGCATAAAATCTGACTATATCATCATAACCATGCAAATTGGGCTTAGGTTTACTTTTGATCTCTCTTTGAGCAAAAGCACAGGAACTGGGCAACATGATAATAGGGAAAATGGCTCTCATGAAATATGCTGATTTTTTTCCTCCTTTAAAGCAACTTCAACGACTCCAAGATTTGAAGATGTAGACATAGTAAAGACAGCAGCAACTAAGGATGGGAAATTGGAAGACATGGAGGGAAGTGATGGGAGGACACCCACTTAATGCCATCGGGCAGCTGTTTCCCAGACAGCAGGGACCAAACATGGTGCTTTATCAGAACAAATCAGAAACAAAGGCAAGGAGGGCTCCTGAGGGGCAGAGGGGCAGCTTCTCTTGCCAAGCTTAGCTCACAGAGGGTGCAACATGTAACAAAGAAAACCTCATTTACTTTCAACGTTTTAACACTCACCTCAGTTTCCCCAGAGATTAGCCATATTCAAGCCTAGGCATGGAGCAACTGCCTCCACTTCTTGGCCAAGTCTGTTTTGCTTAATTCTTGCCCCTTATCGGGACTACTAGGGCTCAATCCCAAGATCTTTGACACAGTAATTGTAGGCTATCACTGCTATGAATGCTGGGAATCCTGAGAGGCTCACACAATTAGAGCCCTGGGCTTTAGGTTCCATTTGTCACAGAAAATAATCCTGCACTCTTATTTTTACCTAATTCCTCACCACCCCCTGCCCTGTTCAAAGGCTGAGATCCCCAGGGGCCCACCACTCCCAGGTTGTTATTAATAACTTCATTTCATACCAGTAGGCACTTGACCTCTCCCATTCTGGTGCCAAGGCTTAAAACTGCTCTTCTCCGGAAGCTTCTGACCCCTCCTCCCATTCCTTCAGTTCATTCCTTCAGCAGCTGGGCCAGATAGCTGGGAAGCCTAAAATAGCTGACTCAGCCAGCAGGTTCCTGTCCTGAAGCCAGGGTTCCCAAAGGGCAGATATTTTTCTTATTGTTCACTGAAATACTTGGCACATAGTAGGCACTCAAAAAATATCTGTTGAATGAAGGAATGATTTTTTTTCCATTAAGTTTATTGGTACATTTTAGGTATAAAATACAGTTACATTAATCACTGGGATCTTGTACCTTTACATGATGTATCTTGGTTCTTATTTTTTCCCCATTCCCCTGCCCTCCCTTCAAACCCTCCACCCCTCCCTATTTACAAAGACTGTGTTTCCATTTTTTTTTCCTTTTCTCATATTTTTTCTTTTCCCTTCTTTCCTTTTCCCTACTCCTCCCAATTCCCCTGCTCCTTTAGACCTTTTCTTCCTATTATATCATATCAATTACACATTTTTTAAATTACAATATCAAGATCTAGGAGACATTACCACAGATTTTACAGAATTTAAAAGGATATAGAAAGCATATTTCAAAAATCTTTTTTGAAATAAGTTTGACAACTTCTAAGAAGTACCTTGGAAGACAAATTGATGAAACTAACTCTGGAGGAAATATAAAATTTGAATAGCACCTATTAAAGAAAGTATATTCCTAGCTTGAAAACCTACCTATATGACAAGAGCAGGCTCATATACATTTTCACTGATAAATTATATCAAACAATTAAAGCAGAAAAAAGAAGGAACACTTCTCCCCTCATTTTAGGAAATAAACATTATGCTAACACTAAAACGGGATAAAGATAATAGAAGAAAAAAGTATGAACATAGATAGAAATTTATTTAACAAAACAAACTATTAGAAGTCAGATCTGGCAGTATGTAGAAAGTGGAATGATTTTTTGATTCAATGTGAGGGAACAGGGTGGGGCAGGGAGGTAATAAACTACAGAGGCCGAGGGCAGCAGGCCCAGCTCCCTCATCCAGGGATGGGCCATTCTACTGCAAACCAGATAGGAGGCCAGACTAAAGCCACAAAAGGAGGGGCCCATCTGGGTAGGGAAAGAGGGATAGAGGGACTCAGGCTCCTTTACTTTATCTATGGCCTCCTGTTTCATCCCCACACCCCCTAAAAGAATGTTTGTGAGTAAAGCTTTTCCCAGGTTCCAGCACAGGAGCACCCCACCCTAGACTGCTTACTTTATTCATCCAGGTTACACTGGCCGCTATCACTGTGTTTGTTCTCTATAAAGATATCATACCACCTGCCAGGAAAAGGTCAGGCTCCTTTACTTCACCATGCTGGCCCCCATAAAGCCTTTTGAAAAGCTGAAGAGTTGGTCGGTTACACTTCCCACCACACTCAACTCTGGGCAAATCTGAGGTAGTTAGCTTGGGCCTTCTTGAACAGAACAACTGCCAGTTCTTAAGAGAAGAGGCCTATGAGTCAAGATGGCTCTCATTAACCCCAGTCCAACACAGGTTCCATAGGGCTCTGACCTGGGGCAGGGACACCCCAGGCCTCACCCTACTCTGCTTCCTCAAAGCAGATCTCTAAGCTCCAGGGCAAATAGGATCCTGAATGACATCCCCACCCCTTTCCTACTGGCTGAGCTTCACTCACCTTTACACTTTTAGGGTCAAAGCCCAGTTCCTTGAGAGGTTCAGGAGCTGATGCTGGGGCAGGAGCTGGGGAAGCAGCTGGGGCTGGCTTGGCTACATCCTTCTTAGGTTCAGGCTTCTTGGGAGGCATGCTGTCTTATTGGAATCTTCAGAGAAGAAGGAACCAAGAGATGCAGATGCAACCAGCTCCTGAGAGATGAGATAGGAGACTGGGATGCCTCCCTCCTCTTTTATCCTGGGCAGGATCCCCCACAGAGGGGCTGGGTGAGAGCAAGAGCAACTGCTACTGACTATAAAAGGAAGAAACAGCAGCAGGGTACAGCTGACAACTGTGTATTGTCACCAGGTTTAGAACTACCAGCCCCCTCCCACATACACACCTTACTCCCCTCAGCCTCCACCTCTGGGGAAGGCTGCCCATCGGTGCAAACCCAAAAGGGCCAGGAAAACAGACCCTGTCAAAAATGCCACAGCAGCCAGAGAGATGACAGGGGCAGTTGATAACCCTCACACAAAGCCCAGGGGAGGCTGAGGCTTTTTTTAGCCCCTCCTGAGCAGAAGCAGCCCACTGCACATTCCTTTTCAGCCAAGATCCTTTAAGCTGAGAGCCACTCTGGGCTCTTGAGGCTCAGCTCTCTCGGCATGGAGCCCTGAGGCAACAGCTGGTCCTGTCAACCCCGCCATCCCACAACCGCCCAATCTGCAGGGTAAAATTCTCCATTTTTTAGAGCTGGCATCCCAGGAACTCCACAGACCTCAAATCCCTACCACTCCCTACCCTTATCACTCATTCAATCGATTACTTAACATGTGTGTGTGGCGGGGGGGATCTGAGTGAGAGGAGAAGCTGTGACAGAAAGTAAAGAGACTGGAGGTCAGAAAACTTGGAATCTAGTTTTTACTTTACTTCTAATTCTGTGCTCTCTCAGTGTGTGTGTGTGTGTGTGTAGTGCACACTGTGTGCCAGGGACTATAAAGCACTATTCATATAAACTCTTATTAAATATTCACCCTAGGGGCCGGGGATTTAGTTCTGTGGTGTTGCTGCTTGCCTCACAAGCACAAGGTCCTGAGTTTGATCCCCTGTACCCCCCCCAAAAAATATTCACCCAATTTTATAAGGTGGATACTGACAGGTCCCCCAAGTTGGAGCCCTGCCCAAGCAGATGCACTACCCGCATCCACAGGAGCACAGAGATAACAAGAAGCCAGAAACAGCCCTGCTGCTTTCACCACTGGCCTGTTTGTCAGCCAGCCCACGCCCATCACCCATGGAACTAAAATTTTCCACCCTCTTGACCAGTCCCCCCTCCCTACCTAAAATGCCCCATATCAGCCACTAGCACTCTCCTCTCTGTGCCAATGGCCTTCTCATCCTTGGCCCATCAGCACCCAGATGGCAATAAACTCACTTCATGTTGCTTAGACTTTGCCTGCCTCGGTGGTCTCAATTGTGCCTCGGTTTGACCTTACATATACAATTATTATTCCCATTTTACACATGAGAAGATTGAGTCTAAAAAGTAAATAACTTGTCTAAAAATTTAGCCTAAAAAGCTAAATAACTTGGACAAGGTCACTCAAATAATTAGTTCTGAGCCTAGATTAGAATCCAGGTATGTCTGATTCTAAAGCACGTACTTGAATAATTTATATTTTAGTCCCATCTAGGAGGGAGAAAAACAATGCATGTTTGTGCGTTCATCAGAAAGATCAGAAACAGGGCATGGTAGTACATGCCTGTGATCTGGGAGACTGAGGCAGGAAGATAGCAAGTTTGAGCCCAGCCTGGGCAACTCAGCAAGTTAGTGAGATTCTGTCTCAAAATTTAAAACATATAAACAGCTGGGTATGGGGCTCAATGTGAAGGTCCTGGGTTGAATTCCCAGTCCCACAGAAACAAGATAAGAGGGCCAGGCATGGTGGGGCACACCTGTAATTCCAGCTTTCAGGAGACTGAGGCAGGAAATTGCCATGAGTTCAAGGCTAGCCTGGGCTCCATAAAAAGTTTGAGTCCAGCCTTAACTACACAGCAAGATCCTGTCTCAAAAAGCCAAAAAAAAGAAAGAGAAAGAAAAAATGGATGCATCATCAACCGTTAAGAGGAGAGGTCCCTGGGGACATAGAGGGTAAGGGCAGGAGAATGAAAACAATTTGCCGTTTTATGCTTTTTCACTTCCTGTATTAATGGATATTTTTTATAACATTGCATATGGTGTTTTTGTAAAAAAAGAAAGAAAAAAGAAAAGAACACTTTGAAAGGCAATAAAATATTCAGAAAAACAACAAAAAAAGCTTATCTACCACAGAGAACTCCTTTGAGCTAATCTCTAAGTGCTATAAAGTTCAGAGGAAAAAGAAGACTAAAGCTGAAAGAAGCAGAAAAGTCACTTTGCCTTTCTGGGCCCAGCTTTTTCACCTATAAAACAAGACTGCCAGACTATGAAATGCCTGGTGCCTGTTAGCTGCTAATCCTACAATTCTAGGTGCTCTGAAGCCCACATTTGCCATAGGTTTCCTGTTGCAGGCATTATTGTCAGAACCAAAAGGGCCCTTAGAGATCTTCCTGTTTGTTCAGTTTCACAGGTGAAAAACTTAGGCCCAGGGAGATTTTCAGTTGTCCAGTTTGCTGATTAGAATTCCTGCTCTACATTGCTCTCATATACCACACTGCCCTCCATGGCCTGTACAAACACTCACTGCTGGTGGGCAGAGAAGCCCTCAAAGGAAACAGATCTGGAAAAGCCTCCAGGACCTGCTCAAAGGGGTACTAGAGCAGAACTTGGGCCCAGTCCTAGTCCTAAACTGAGACAGCAGCTCCTTCACAGGTTTCACTTCCCCACTTCCCCTCCCCTTCTCTTTCTTCTTACCCACCAACACCAACCCCTTGTTAACCATTCTCTCCTACCTCTGCTTTTATCCTTCAATATTCCCTGTGAGTCCCCTCCTTGACCTGCTTCCTTTCCACAGAGATTGGGAGCACAGGCTGTTGGTGATGGGGAAGAAGAAAAAGAGGAAGCACAGCCCTTCCTCAATCTGCCTCTCCACCTTCCCAGACTAAGTGCCCTGCAGTGTTTGTGCAAAAATACACTAAATAGGGTTTTTGTGCAAGGTGCAGGCTGGAACCTGCATGACCCAGACATTAGTTCTGACTTCACCTCTCTGTGCCTCAGCTTGCTTATCTCTACAATGAAAGATACTCAGGAGCTTTCAAAGAATATTCAAGAGAATCAATCTTAAGATTTCTGGCTGCAAAAGATGTAGAGAGGCCAGGTCTTAGAGTTCCCTCCACCAAGCACCTCTCTTATATATAGTGGGGTTCCCATAATCATTTTTGAAGAAATAGTTCCATGGTTTAAATTTTTTTTTTTTTTTTTTTTTGGTACTGGGGATTGAACTCAGGTCTTTGGTCTCGCAAGGCAGGCGGCAGAACCACTGAGCTAAATCCCCGGCCCTGGTTTAAATTTTTTTAATTAAACAATGAAATGATCTCGTATGTCCCCTTCCAGTTTAAAAAAAAAAAAAGTAATTCTGATTATTCTAGATCTTGATCCTCAAAAGACAAGAGAGCTAGAAGGTTGTTTTTGTTTTGTTGTTGTTGTTGTTGTTGTTGTTGTTGTTGTTTACTGGGGCTAAAACCCATGGCTGCACATCTGCTAGGCAAACACTTGTTAAAATGAGCTACATTGGGCTGGGGATTTAGCTCAGTGGTTCCGGCACCTGCCTCACAAGCACAAGGTCCCAAGTTTGATTCCCAGTACCCAAAAAAAAGAGTAAAATGAGCTACATCCCCAGCCCTAGGAGATTGTCCTTGTCTTTCCTCTTTAAAAAATGTGAGGAAGAAGCAAAACAACCAGTCTGTATGAAATCAGAGCTATGAGCTTAGAAAGCTGAATGGACTCTGTGACCACCCAAAAACTCGTAGTGTGGACTTCCAGAAGCAGACATATCTCTGAAGCCACTTCCTAATCTTAGGCTGAGTTCTTCATGTCCTTTAATGGTATACATCTCCTTCTCAAGTTGTGAGGTTTGTAAACAATAATGTAAACAAAGCATGGCAATGTGGGACTGCATAACTTTGTAATCATAAAACTCCCCTAGCCCCAATTGTGATTGAATGTGAGTTAATGGTTAAAGATGCTTGTTAGTTCTGGGACACAAGATAAAGTCTGTAACAAACATAGAGTTCCTAAGTGAATTACCCATCCCCTTGTTTGTCTGAAACCGATGTTCCGGACACAGCTATCTATAAGACAATCTGCAAAC